GTTGTGCCAGAGCGAAGCTGCCCTGCTCTCTTACCAAGGCTGGAGCAATTGACGGTGCGTGCTGAGTCAACTAAAGGCCCAGTCATGATGGAGCAGAGCTGTCTGATCCTTCTTCCTGAACAGGGTACGCAGCTGGCAGCCCTACTTGAAAAGTTGATAATAGAGACATAATGGCTTGTAGTTTTGGGTCAGTCAGAAGTGGTGATTTGTGGAGATTCCTTCAGTAAATGGCTGCTTGCTAATGCAGGGACTGGACTTGATGGCCCAGGAGGCTCCTTGTAGCTCTGTGTTTCTTTGAATTAGATATAGCAACCCATAGGAAACATTTTGTTCTTGTTCATTCCTAATGATTTGATGTGAACCTGGGGTTGTTAATATCCTCTGCCCTGCATGAGCATCAGTTTTTACAATGTTTTTTCCTTCCACTAGTGAACATAATAGTGCTTCATTTAACTATGCTAGTAGAGTGATGGGGTTCGTTGACACAGCTATTACTTGAGACCTCAGTCTAAGGAGAGGACTCCAAGAATGGGCTTCACTTTAACCATGGATGTAGTTTTATCCTAGTACTCATATGCTTATTGTTTGACATGGACCTAAGTGCTATCCTGGATTTGGTTTGAACGTGTATTTTAGGGAGCCTTTAAGTATGTCAAACTTGATGTTGAGCCTTCCAAAGTAATTCCCTTGGCTGTGATACGTGAAGTCTTCTTTTTTCTTATTACCCTTTTCTCTTCATAGACTCGTCCTTGTTTAAATCAATCAATAACTAAATGCTGAAATAATTTATGTTTGATTGCTAAGACTGTGACGCAGCATTGGGCCATCAGATCTTTTGGACTTGCTTTTGTTTGGATTTTTACACTACAGAAAAGCATTTGGAACTTAGTAATATTTGTGTTTTCACAGCAGTGAAGCCATGGAAGGAGATGACGCATCATTAAACCACCTGTCAGAAGAAAACAGCATAGTGGACCTACCTTGTGACCTTGCTGAGAATTTTCTGCCACAACACAACGCCGAGTCCAGTGATGAGCCTTTTAGTTCTGTGCAAACTTTTGCATCATCAATATCCACAGGTAGTCACCAAACTAAATGTTCCTTTTTATACATGTTCTTCCATCAATTAATAAAGATTGACTCAAGCATCATGCTGTTTGAACAAGCCACAAACAACATGCTGAAGTTTGATGTCAGTGCTTCTGAGTATGAACTATATGCTGTTTTCTGAGCTGCAGTAAGGACCTCTGTGGCATAAATGTATACAGTAAGGATCTCTGTAGCACAGCAGGTGCTATGAATGGATGACACACTTGAGAGCAATTGGGAGGTTACTGTCATATCTTCATGTTTTGATAATGTTGTTTTCTAATGTTAGTGTGCTCTTGCAGCAGGGAATTATTGAGGCTAAATCACAGAAGCAATTGTAATGTACTCACAGATGTCAACAAAAAATATTACCTTACATGATTATAGCCAGTATGGAAATATTTTGCAGATCCTTTTCTCTATTTCCACACAAGTCCTGTATTGTCTTTGAACTACTTTAGGACAAGTGTTCTGATGCTTATTTCCTTCATCTTTTTTAGTAACTGTGAATGGCTAGTTGTGTTACATCGTCATAAGCTTGTTGTGAGTCTGATCATACCCAGTGATTGAGAGAGAGCAAATTATTTGGGTTTTTCTCTACCCTCCCTTTCCTCCAAGTCTTAGATCACATCACATGGTCTATATTTATCTCCCACTCCACTCCTGGTCTAACATTTGTTAGGGTGAAATTTATAGGGGTTGGGAAATCATTTTACATGGGGAAATAGGGGCTCAGTTGTTTGTGACTTTCAGATATTTCCAGTTATAGTATGCAAGTCAGGGACAGGCAAAATATGGCTTGCGGGCCGCATCTGGCCTGCGAGGCCATTCTATTTGGCCTGTGGGGCCCCTAAAAAATTTAGAAAATTAATATTGATCTGCCCTTGGTTCCAGTCAAAAATGACAGGAGGCAGGGGCAGTAGGACCCAGGGGAAGCCCTGGCGGACTCCTGCAACAGCAGAGCCCGCATGGCCTTGCCCTTCCAGCTGGAAGCCCTAGCAGAGGCTTCTGGCCTGGGACCACTTGGCTGCCCTGCGCGGGAACCTCAGGTAAGGTGGGGAAGGGCAAGGGAGGACCCTGGGGAAAAGCTGAGCATGGGGAAAAGTGCCCCCTCCCCTACCCCGTGGTGGGTGTGGTGGCGCGATGCTGCGGCTGGTTGCTGCCTGGGCGGGGCTGTCGTGAGCAGGCACAGGCAGCCCCATGTGGGGCGTGAGCTCCGGGCAGGCAGCAGCAGCAAACACTGGCTAGTGTGGCAAGCGGGGGTGCTCCTTTCCTCCACACTGAGCAGCTGCTCCTGTCACAGTGCAACCCCAACGGGCAAGCCCAGAGCCAGTGTGGGGCCCAGGCTGGCTGTGGGGGTGGGTTATAAGCTGGTGTGGAGCATAGGGAAAAGCAGCCCTACTCCCGCCCCATGCCTGGAACCCCGTGCTGCAGCCGCTCGCAGCCTGTGTGGGGCTGCCTGTGCCTGCTCTTGACAGCCCCGTGTGGGTTGCGAGCAGCTGCAGCAGGGAGCTCTGGGCATGGGGCAGGGAAAGGGCTGCTTTTCCCCGTGCTCAGCACCTGCTCGTCGGCAGGGAAGAAGCTGGGGGTCGGGGCTGTACGCTGCCCCCAGCTTGTACCACAACGCTGGGGGGCACTGGGAGTGAGTGGGCAGAGAGCCAGCAGGAGCACAGGGCCCACACTGGCGGGGCCTAGAGCAGGGTGGCAGGAGTACAGGGATCCTGGGCAGCAGGGCTTTTAAGGAGCTGGGCCAGTTCCCCCCTCTCCCCGCTGGTGCAGGCCAACCTGGCTCCACAGATCCCTGCCAGCCTGCGCCCTGCTCTGGGCCCCACCGGCGCTGGCCCTGGGACATTGGTCCCAAGACCAGTGATTGGGACATTGGTCCCAAGATGGTGACCAGGGGATGGGGCACCTGTCAAGGGATGGGGCAAGCTTGCCAAAACTGGGTAAGTGGCCCTCTGCCCAAAATAATTGCCCGCCCCTGATGTAAGTGCTCTGCTTTTGTCCTCAGATGCAGCAGCACCACCACATTGCTGTGTGTACAGCTCTTGTGCTGCTCCTATTTGCAAGAGTGACTGCATAACTCAGTGTATCATATTTTGATGACAGGGGAGATATTTGGATTTTTTCAATCTCAGCACCTTCATGTGATGTTGAGTTTGAAATGCATCAAATCCTTCTTCAAGGGTTAAGAAGGATGTAGCAATTAAGTTTAAATGGCATGGATTAAAATCAACTGGTGGAGAAGTTTGCTTCTGCAAATGGTAAGAAAATAGATGTGTTTCTTCAGTTTTGTAGGTAGAACTGGTGAAATCCATGTAAAGTGTTTATTAGCTTTGGGGATTTAAACCGTTTGGAGGAAGTGTTAACTCCTGTCCTTTTTCCTCCTCGTGTTCTCTGACACTGATAGTTTGCTTAGTCATCATTTAAACAAGTATCAGTCTTGGTAAAGTTTAGGCATATTTCTAACAGTGGCCTGGAATGGGCCAGTGCTGGGACCCGGTGACCATCACTGCCTCTCCACACTGCTCAGGTGTGGTGCAACATGGGTGAAGCCCCTGACCACAAAGTCCCCTGGCTCTGTGGACTGGACCCTGTGATACCATGGGCTGGATTCAGCCTATGGGCCACAGACTGCTGACCCCTGTGCTAGTCATGCTTGCAATGACATCTTCTGCTTAAGTCCCCGAAGACATCAGCAAGGTAGGTGAAACATATCACCAAGGTGAATTGTTAAAGACATAAGCAAAAATGGATCATTAATTGTTCAGGAAAAGTTTACTTGTTTGAGAGCAGGTTAATACTTTTCAATATATTATCTAATTTCAAAGAGAAAAAAACTGTTGCTGGTTAAGGGAAGCTATATTGCCATGAAGCAATGTAAAAAAAGTTGCGAACTATCTGGACCGCCTTCAACATTGTTGACCTTTTTATCAGTGATCTTGTCCAGGTGTTCAGGTTTTATATAGATAGAGATTTGCTTAAGAAAATGAAATGTGGTAGTGTTTGATTATCAAGCTTGCATAGTTTTCTTTGCTGCCAGTATGACACACCCAGAATTGTCTCAAGAAACATAATCTATAGATTAAAGATATCAGTCTTTGCTCTGTTTCTGGTATTGAGAATAGGGGCTTTGGGGGAGGCCATATAACCTCATGGCAAATAGATGCACATGATCTTTTTTGAGCCATGAGCTGTTTTATATCCTGTAATCCTCATGTTCTGGTAATGTTAAGGAGTTTTCCCATTTGTACGAATATGATTATATATTTCCTTGAGTCTAATAAGAATATTCTGAATGCATACTTTTCCCTGCTAGTTTGGTGAAGTTGCTCTGACAATATAATTGGCTAAAGTGAGTTAAACAATGGGTTTTCTGTAAGATTTTATATATGTAGTAAAAAATGCTGGGATCTTTGGACTGTTTCTGCAACAGGTGCATTAGTGAGTTGTTTGCTCACATCCTCGTCAGCATAGGTTTGATTCTCTTGTATTGGTGATAAATGGGTTATGATTATTCTGTAGTCCAGGAGGTTTTTTGAGGCTGACCAAGCTTTTACCCAGCGAGCCTGTTGTGACAGATGGAAAGACAAGGACAGGCTTCCTCAAGCTAATGAAAAATTTTGCTGTATCCCATGAGTTGTCCATAATATACATGTGGAATGTGTATCTCTGTTACATTATGTACCAAATTAGTACATAAGGGGCTGGATCCTGTATCCTCGTAGAACACCAATGGATAGCGCTGGGAGTTTTGCTTGTGCAAAAAATGGAAGTTTAGATTCAAGCTGCTGTTGCTTGTTGTTTCTGTAACAGGGACACCTAGATGCTTCTCTTGGAGCCAAATTGTGAAGGGCAGCACATAAGAAAACAAGACAGTCTAAAAAAATTAATCTGGTCTCATGGGCTGGATGAGTGGTGTGGGACTAGTCCATGGGCTGGATGACTAGTACGGGGATAGCCCTCACCTCTCACTCCTAACATGCAAGACCAAGCATCTGCAACATTTACTGTGGCCATTCTGGAACTGTACCACATGCAGTGCCCACCTGTGACCAGCACCATGTATCCCAGACTGACTGGAGTGGGCACCATGTGTGGTGCTCACCTGCATGCAATGCTGGAGCGGGAGCAGGCACCAGGCAGGAGGGAACAAACTAGCTCCTAGAGCAGCTGTCACATATGGCATGGGTCCTTGAACTACTGGGGCAGGTGCCACATGTGACTTGTGTCCCAGGGCTATCATGTCAGGCTGACCCAGCATGCACTGCATGTGGGTAACCTGGAGACCCAGGGGCAGCACGGTAGACTGGATGATGGGGCTCTGCAGACCAGATCTAGCCCATGGGCCATGTCTTTGACACGCCTGGTCTAAACAACTACTTGAAGACAATTTTCTGTCGTGATGTGTCTGTGAATAATAGTTTAACTCCATGTACCTTACTCTGTAAAATATCAACAAATTTATGAGCATGCTAGTTTGTGCAGGAGGCTTGTTTTCCAGTCTCAGTGGTTTAACTTTACCTCAGTCCTGAGTCACCTGGGGTACAGGAAGAATAGACTGCACTGAAAGCCAAATTCCTCATCTAACACAGACCTTCCTGGATAAACAATCCGATCAGGAAATTGTAGAGTTACAATCCTACCTTTCTTCTCTACCCACCACCACCTACTCCCCTTCTCATTCAGTAGTGAAAATTTCTTTAGTTCTGAGAGATTGAAACTAAGAGCAGTGGTTCATGATAGCTTGTGCTAAATGGAGGAACTTGGTTTAATATTAGCGTTTTAAGTGTGGAGACTGGTTCCTCTTTGGGCAACAGGAACGACAGATTTTATAACTATGTTATTAAATGTTATTTTCAATGTGGCAGGGACAGGGGCCTGTCTTGCATCAGTGCTAGTGTTTTAGCACATATAGAAGGAGTTTGTCTCTCTTTGGGGCTGGATCCGATGATCTTGCGAGGTCCGTTCCAGCTCTAATGTCTATGAA